TTATAATGTAAATAAAGGATGAAATTTAAGAAAAAAACTATAATAAAAAAAAAAGAGAGAGAGAGAATGTTGGTGTAAACCTCAGTTAAGAATCGGTAATGTTATATTGAAATAGTAACAAGTCTGTAAAAAAAATGATGAAAAGGTAAAATAATTTTTTTTTAAGGAAATAATCCCAAGAAATTAGTAAAGTAACCAATATGATTCCAATAAGGATTGAACAAGAAAATTTAGATTTTTTATGTCAAATCATGTACTAACCAGTTTTACACTATTAAATATAACTTTTAAACTAATCGTTGGATCAAGATGAGATTTTATGTGAAGTCACTTAACATATTGTTTTACCTCAATTTAAGATTTTCAAGAAATCAAAGTTCAACAAGGCCCTGAAAAAATATGGACAGTTGGGTAGGAAAAAAATTGGGGTAAGGGCTAAAATAGTCATTTAGCAATAAAATCCATATTCTTCTTCTCCTTAAACCTGGTGTGAGCTACTGGAAAATAAGGAAGAGAGAAGAAATTGGGGTTTAAGCCTTTCATGTTTTTTTCATTAAATTCATGAGAGAAAATTATGAAATTAAGATAATAAAGGCTTTAAAAAGAGAGTTTTAATGAGTTTAGAGAGGTAATTGAGATAGAATAAGGTTTTTAAGCTTGGGAGAAAGAAAGACACTAGAAGTTAGAAAGAGGAGGAAGAGAAGATGAAGAAAAACTTGATTTGCTTTGCAAATTTCTTTTAATACCATGTGATTAAAAGGTAAGAACCATCTTTCTTATGTTTGACTTTGGTTTTGCCATAAATTGAATTTTAAAGTGTTGAATGGATTAATATGCAACGTTGAATTTTATGGGATTGAGTTATTGTAATGATAATTTTAGTTTAAAAGCATGTTCTTGGACATGAATAACAAATGAGTCTCAAACAAATTGGAAGAAAAATATACCCTCCTTTAGTGGGAAGATTTTGGCCAAAATATATAATTTAGGGGAATGGTTGACTTGCATAATTGTATATGTTTAACATGAAATGATGCATTAACAATGTGAAGGTTTAAGCAAACTTGTCTAGGTTTAAGCAAACTTGTCTGGTTAATGGATGAATGATTTGTGTCATGTAATAAATTGATTATTGAGAGACTTGTATAAATAATGCTAAAAAATGTATTGAATGGAAATGATTGTCTTAAACGGTAAATAAATGCATAAAAATACTTGGTTGTGAATCAAACATTCAAACAAAAAAATTGAACAATTTTATTACCTAACTTTTAGCTAGAATTAGAACTAGTAAATAAAGGAATTTGAAATATATTTATTTATGAAAGTTGTAGCTAAAGATGTTAAATTTCAAATGGTACTTACTTTGATTAATTTAAAAATGTAAAACCTCAAATATAGATAGAAAATGAAAGGAAGGTCAAACTAAATCTTGTTGGACAAATTGCATATGCTATTGTAATAGATGGTTTTGAGTGTGTGGTCGCAGAATTGAGTTTTCTTTTCTTTATAAAAGTTGTAGCTTTATGTCGTAAATTTTTATATAAATAAATCATACTTAAAACTAAGTTTTAAAAATTTATTTATGATTGAAACACTAAACAATGTTTGGGGTTGAATAAACTAAATCAATTAGTACTAATCAATTTCAATCATTACTTAGAATTATTGTTGATTAAGGGTTATAATATTTGAACTGATAAGAATAAGTATAAACATAAAAAATACGTGTATATATAAGTCGTGATGACAATTGTAAATATGTATGAATATGGGTTCTTATGATCAAAAAATTGCAAGTGTGTGTTGTAAATGTTAAATCAAATCTTAAAACATGATGGAATTAAGTTATAATGTATAAATATTTGCTAGTGTGATTAATGAGGAATGAAATATGAAATATGTATGAAATAGATGGGTTGGACTAATATTTATCATGTGTTTGAGAAAATACTAGACATTGGAAATTGTTGACGAAAAGGCTAGGATATTAGATCTGATTACAAAGTGAATATATATATAACCTTAACATGCCATAAATGGCGTAATATTTGTTAAGATTAAAAAGTGATATTGTCAAGATATAAATGATAAAAATGGTTATTTGTATGAGCTAACAAAACTAGCTGGTCAAAAATAACATAATAAGCATTGGATATGAATGAATGTGATTAAAGAACAAAATAGTATATTCATTAAAGTTTAATTCAATCATAGAAGATGATGTGAGTGACTATATGAGTTTTAACATTGATATAGGATATTCATTGAAATTCAAGGACTTTGAAAGTAGAAACTCAAAGCAGAAGGAGCATACCACCACAAATACACCAAATAGGTGCTTGACACATCATAATAACTGAATTTAAATGGCGTCGTTTGTGTGGATGATTGGGTTTGATTGGCATACTTGTGAGGATGGCCGAGATAATGTGACAAACTATATGGATAGCAAGCTTTAAACAAGATATCAAGTTGTAGTGAAAGGTTTAAAAGTGACCGACATAATTTAACGAATATGACATCAGGTGAGTACTAACCATATTACTTGATATTAAGAACAAAATTGTTTAATAGTTGAAGAATTATGAAAAATTTGTTAATAAAGAAAAACTCATGATGAGTCTTAAGGATGACAGAGTAAGGGTTGGTGACAAATAAATAAATGTAAATGAATATTATATATCTTGAAAAAAGAGCTGGTTTATTTGGAAAACTTATAAAAGGAGATTAAGGTGAGGCATCAATAGAACATAGGATGGTCAAGATAATGGATATATCACATGATAAAGTAATGAGTAATGATGTTAGTAGTTAAACCAGAAGATGATGGATGATTATAGGCCAGTACATATGATAGGTGAATGATTGTTATTCTAGGGTTTTATATATAGAATAAAAATAATGTTTAGATATACCATGAGTGGTGGCAATAGTGAAAGTAAAGTGAATTAAAAGTGAGACAATAAAGAGTATTTATATGTGATTCCAAGTCGAGTTATTGAGATGGAATAATTGTGTCTTGTTTCTAGACTATTAGGAGAGTCAGAACATGATGTAAAGGTAGTAAAAAGATAGTTGTTCTAGCAATTTACACTAAAGGATTTTTAAGGTAATAAATGTGTAAGGTATGCAAGTATAAATTAATTGAGTTTAAAATAGTTGTAAAAAGGTTAAAACATATGACTTCGAGATTGTTGAAAGATTGTATGAGAGTACATGTTAGGACATTTGCCTCCTTAACAACTAGGAGGTTAAAGCTCTATAAAAGATACTTCCGTTTCGTATAATGAGCAAGAAATATATCATAAAATATGAAGTTAATGATTGTTTTAAAACAATAATAAATGACAAAACAAAGATTGATATGATTTATATCTTAGTTATATTTTTGGAGTTTTTATGTAAATTTGAGATTTATCAGGATTATACTAAAATATTGATTTAAATTATCTAAATATTATAGGATTATGCACTTGAATTGATATAAATAATGAAAATCATGACATGAAAATCACGACACTTGGATTGACAAAGATAAGGTAAATAATAGAATGGAAAGATGGATTCATATAATTAGAGTATAGATACTTATAAGATTAATTATAATCAAATTGATTGTATAAATAATGATTGAATTAATTAATCGATAAGTTTAAATATAAAAATAATTTTTTTAAGATAAGAAATTTGAATAAATTATTGATTTTTATGCTAAAAATCTTTTAATAAATGCGATGATAATTCCTTATGTTACAATGATAAGTGGTAGCATTTGTTAGGTGAAAAAAAAAGCTATTTTAATTATATGAAAAAATAAATAGTTTTAAAATAAAAATAGGATAAATAACTCTCCATTATTTTTTTAATGTTTGATTTTAATTATTAATTTACTAAATTTCACAATAGAACAAACTGGAAAATCTTCAAAAAAACAAAAATCAAATGTGGTTAAATCATTGAATGCAAGGTATTACTATGATTGCAATGTCTTCTCTTATAAATGTTTGTGAATTACGTCTGTCCAGCATGACGGGTTTCTTTAATATGATAACACTAAGTATTTGATAGTCAACATAAATAAAAGCTTGTTTTATACTCCCTATGTCCCACTGTCCCTCAATATGTCATGCCATTTTGAGTGTCCATTTTAAAAGTCAAAGTATAATAATTCCCATAGTTTCATTCACTTTCAATTTTTATCCTTGACCCATTTTAAAATTAAAAAAAAAATACTTAAAACAAGAACATTGAACTATATAATATGTGTGGGTAAAAGTGGAAAATGATAACATCATTTATTTTATTTTTTAATTAAAAATCACGCTTTTCTCAGGGTATTAATCAAGGTTTTAATTGATGTATACATTGGAATGAGAATTATAATATGTTTTGGTCTCTTTTTTATTAGAAAAATGATCGAATTTACATAATGAAATTAAAGTATATTAGAATTGTATCGAAGATCTAAGAGTCAACCAATTCTAATATTATATCAAATGTTTAAGGAAAAAAAGAGGACTTCACTTTCTTTTTCTTTTCTTTTTTATTAAATAAGTGATATCTAACGTTAGATTGCAATGTTTAGAACAAACTAAGTTAAAATCAAACGATAATAGAATATTGAATCTAATGGGTGTGGAATTATACTCTAATAATTAATATTTAGAATTTAAAAACTTGTTCTAAAATGTAGAGCTGCTTGTCTTACAAGAAGGAAAAAAAAAAAAGTAGAAAACAAACTCTTTACTGATATTGGATAAAGAAATTAATAACCTATACTTCATAGAATATTGGATAAAGAAATTAATAACCTATAATTCATAGAATATTGAATCTTTTATAAATACAACCCAAAAACAACTATTGCATACATGGATGAATGAAAAAATCTTGCTGATCCAATTAATTGTACGAATCTTAACCATGCCTGATATCGGAACTAGCAACCAATGTTCTCAATCTGGATCATGCCCACATATTTGCTAGTACCTAGTCAATTATATAACCCATTTCCAATATTTAGTTTAGATATCAACATATTTACAGTTACAATAACCTAAGATGATTGATTGATTAAATATTGATGGTACATACCCTTCAATTGAAAAGTTTCGAGTAAGGCGTTCAAACAGCAAAATGAATCTCTTTCATAGTCATGCCATAGATAAAATTTCTAGAATACTATCAAAATACGGATCATACATCTCAATTCAACTTTGCTCGAGACCTAGAAAAGAATTCACGAACTTCCCTGTACTGTTTTAAGACGACGTTGTAGAGTGGATGGACGGGTTCCAGGAGATTTGGATAGGGACCCAGCACCTGCCCGGGCACGGATGGAGAATCGTAATCCTTGGAGCAGCAATGCTGGCATACAGAGAGGCCACTTAGACAATAACATGTGTGATAGAAGTCTCGGGGCTTCCCTGGTTTGTCTCTGAATCCACCATTCTCTAACTGTAGTAGCCACATTACACAAAATGTATCAAATATCCGTTAAATAAGATAATCCAAGAGGTGCTCAAATATCAAAGTAAAACCAACTTCTCCACTCAATACAATTTTCCGCTGCCACAAATGTCCATGCAACAAAACATAACCACTAAGTTTGAGGTAACCTACAAATTCCTCTGAATTTGTGGTCGATTAAGTTCAAAATTTCCTCCTTTTATGTTCTTTTTTGTGTGTGTACCCAAAGGTTATATCTGTGTGTGCACATTTTCATAAGCATGCACATATGATCACATAGATGAAGGAAACACGTTGAGAATTAATGAAACTGACCTTAAAGATGAAAAATAAACCTTTATGGACCATATTGAAAGTTTTCATACTCAACTTGCAAGAGTGTTAAGGTTTAACAATGGGTACTGCATTTGGGTTAGCATGAAATTACCAGAACTTTTTCCCTCTCTTTGCTAGTATAGAACCACAAGCCCAAATGAGGTGCAAGAACCTGAATCTTCGAATACGTTTAAAATGCCACCAGCCAATAATGACCTTGGTCCAGAACACTATTGTTTGGCAAGTATGGAATGCTGAGAACCTCATGCCTTGTTTTAAAAACATGGAAATAAAATGCAACACAAGGAAAACCACCTTTCTTTCCGGGAAAAATAAAACAGTAAAGTCTAGGGCTTGACCCATGACAAGAAGGATCAAAATTATTATTATTATTATTATTATTATTATTTTGTGTTAGGGATAAAAAATACTGGAAAAAAAATTAGCAAGCAAGTGTGAAAATGATTCAGGCTTTCCAAGATACTATCAAAAGCAATAATCAGACATAAGAAATAGACATAAAAAGTCATCAAAGTCAGAAACAAGATCTTAAAAATTCAATGACAGGGTCATCAATAAATAGAAAGAGTTCTTCAATTTTGACCTGTGAGCATAAAAGTATGTACTGCTGCAATGCCAAGCTGTGAAAAAGAGGTTCCGTTTCTACGTTTCCCAAAGATCGAGTATGATTAGAACTGGTGTAGTTCACTGAACAAGAAGCATCCTGCTGCTCTGCAGCCGTGTAAGAATAAAAGGTGAGAAAAATCACATGACAATTATGCATAACTGTAAAGCCAACATAAGATGAAGTGAAGAAAACATAACCAATCTACCTCCATTCTTAAAATGGCAAGTCTCCTCAGCCCCAGATGAAATTCCATCAGTATCTTCTCCTTCAGAAGTACTATTTCCAGGGCTGTCCTCTTCTCCGGAATCAAATAGTGATAGATATTCACCAGTAACCAGGTCTATTCTTTGTAATAATGCAAGCACGCCTCCCTGAATACATATTTTTTAACTCACTATAAAAATGAAGCACTTAACAACTTGAAACAAAGAACAGAAAATACCTGCCAAAAAGAGTAGCAACCATCAACCAATTTGTTTACTCTCCCCTGGAATCCACACTCCACTCCTTGTCGAAAGACGACCCAATCCTAATACAATAACCACCAAAAGCTTTCTTACGACATGTTCAAGAAATTCATCACACAAAAATTGATACATAAGAGAAAAGGAAAAATTTTGGCAAATGATGACAAAGAAAGGCAACATTGTCTTACAATTAAACCAGCCAAGTCCAAATGGTTAACCTCATTGATCAAAATCATGGCAGCCAATCCACAAAAAGTATACCTGATAACCAGGTATTCAAACCCATGAGATGTGTTGCTTGACTAGGAAAGAGATCGGACCACAAGCAGACACATATAGAAGTTGAATTGAGGGCTAGCAAAATAGAAAACTTATAATCTCTTTAACAGATATGGACTTAGAGAGAACATACCCACCATGAGCTTCAGAACCAGGTTCTCCTGCAATCCCACCTTCATATGTCTGACAGCTAAAGTTGGATATCAAAAAGAAAGACTTATAGTTGCTTACACCATCAAGAAATATAAACAAAAGGCAAGTGTAATACTTTTGAGGAATTAATCTTGTATGCAAATAGAAAAACTACAGTATGACTTGTCAAAACAGTCACTGGCATAATAGAGCTAAAAGAGTATTCCAAAATGACACAAATCTAAGGACAGCATGGTGTAACTGAAGCAACCTCATCACAAATTAATTGCCACCTATTGATGTAACAAGCACATATGATGTCCATCTCTCTAGCACATGACGCAACCCAGCTTTGCCATTATACCATTCTTATAGAGCACTATAAAGATTCATTTATCTATAAAATCAAATAAATATTTCCCCTACCAGCTTACAGAAAGCTTTCAACAGTCCAGTCTCAATCAGAACTCCAGCATCATTAGTATATCATTTGACAAATTACATGATGCTGTATTGGAAAAAAGAAAGTTTACTTGTTTGTTTGTAATTTCTTACGTTTAAAATCTTATTATTATATAGGTCAATTTCTAGGATTTTTTTTGTTGTTGTTAAAAATATTTTATCCGATTCTTAATTCATATTTAGTTTAGAATACTGAGTTTATTGATATCTATATAAACACATCCTTTGTAGGAGAGAGTGTTAACGATGATAAATTGAAATTCAGAATTATGTATTGTTTCTTCCATTTATTAGAACCCTCTTACAAGGTTTTTTCTTTTCTATATAGGGATTTACGCTCTTCTATAGGTTTTCTTTCTTCTTGCACAATTTTTCCCTGTCCTCTAGGGAACTCAGCTCGTTCTAACTTTGCTACTATCTGTGCTCCATCAATTTTAGCATCAGAGCCTACAGTTGGACCATACCTTAAACCACAAACCCTAAATTCTTTTTGTCAGGAAAAAAACAGTGGTTAGAAGAAGAAAAAAAAATTGACAACTAGAGAATGTGGAAACAAATCCCTCTCGCCCTAGAATAGCTTCTATATCAAGTACTTCAAGTCAAGATAGATATTTTGTTGCTGCCAAAATCGTTGTCAAACACCAAACTTCTTTATTGCACCACATTGCTTCTCATCTTAAATTCAACAGAAGCTTTATAAGTTGGACTTAAGATGACTGATTTCATTTGGCAAGAAACCAATTGCTTCCATCACGTATGAAGATCATGATTATTGAAGAGTGAAGAGTCCGCTCATACAAGCTGGTTTTGTTTGTAAATTTCATGGATTCTTATATCAGGTTAGTGATGAATTATTGTACAAGATTTTTGAACTTTATAGCTTTGAGGAATAGATTATTATGTATGATAAGACAGCTGTAGTTTATTCAGATCTCACTACTATCTCTGCTTGGACTCATCTCAATGGATATTGTATTTATGAGGGTTGTTGCGAGTTGGATATTTGGTTTCCTAAAGTTGCTACTAGATGTTATTTATATCAAATAAACAATACTCAAATCTTAATTTCAATTCATCATCATTAACATTCTCCCTTCTACAAAGGGATGTGGTGTTTATACAGACACCAAGCAACCCTAGTATGAACTAAATAGAAAATAAGAATTCTATTAAAATATTACCTTATAATAATAATAATAATAATAATATTCTAAAAGCACTAAATTACAGACAAACAAATGAACTTCATGTCCCTATACTGTATCATTATGTCTCAACAGCAACTAACTATAATGAATAAAAACTCCATGTGGTTTTTGAGGAATTAATATTACTAGGGGAAGCGATGTAGTCCATCTCGCAGGAACAAAAAGGCAATAAATTTCATCACAATGAGTTTGGCCTTCCCATTGGCTCCATATTATACTCCCAAATTTGTGAAATTAACAACAGCCCAGCAAACAAATGAGCACCTTCAGGACATGAATTATCACAAAAAGCCACATCAGGTCAATCTACACTCATGTTGATCCCACTTTCAAACTTGACAGCCACAATTCCCAAGAGCACATAAAATGAGCTCAAAGCTTGAAAGGGGACAAAAGAACCAAAAACCTAAACTAGAGAATATGAAGGTATCAAAATTATATAAAGGCCAATTTAGATGGGTTACATATGAATGGTCCTTGACTATCCCAGCATGTATTAACAAAAGGGAAAAACCAGAAAAAATGAGTGTTACATCACATCCATGAAAGCAAAAGGCAAGAGGAATTGCAAAGAAATAAAACGATACCTTTCAGCAACTCTGATTAAATGTAATAAATGAAGATACACAAGCTAGCCTCTTGAGGCATAACAATTGTAATGGGAATAATACAGTTTGGGTATTAACACTTGTTCTCATCCATTAAGAAACATGATTTTTTTGCTTATGCAATCAAGTCTCCATATAAAGTTCTGTAAATGCACATTTGAAAGTTTCAAACATGAAAGTAAGATGATTTCATAATTTGGAAGAAAGGCAAATGCTGCACACCAAGACTGTTATTCTAGAATTAACAAATAGCCAAGACAAAAAAGAAACCCCAAATAAAGCCTGAAAGAAGTGGATAAAACATGAATAAAAAAGGAAGCTCAAGCTGGAATAGTTCCAAAATCAAATATTGAAGAACCACTAGAAACCAACCTTAAGATGAAATTTCCAACACCCCTAACGAGCTCATCATCCAGAATGTTGAGAATACTAGCAACCTGGTTGAAACAAGATGATTGGAGCAGTGCAAAAGCTAGGAAAGCAAAAGTAAAATAACCTATTGAAAGAGAGAGATAGCAATGCCTAATATGACCTGGTGATACATAATTGCCCAAATGTACAAGTTAAATGACCTAATGAAAGTGAAATAACAACGCCAGTTACACACATAATTATAGATAGCACATAAAACTCATCGATGTTCAACTAGTAGTCAGGCAATAGAGTATATTTCCACTAGAGCAGTTTGAACACAACTTTTAGCAGATCTCACACCAAAGCTAATTAATTTTATGATTGATTATATTGATTCTTGAATAAGGATCTGTTACAGAACATAGAAAGCATTTGTAAGCTATAATAGATGGCTATTCTAAACACATATTTCAACTGATGCTTTGGCCAAAAGATGCCAATATTTTGCTGAAATGGTATAGTAATTGAAATGGTATAGTAACTGAAATAGAAAGATCTTACTGAAATGGCAGTATAGCATGCCCGTACATCAATTTCACCAGCATCATGCATCCTAATGAAAAGAAATGCATGACATTCAAAGCTAGTCAAAAGCAGTTCATATTTCCTCTATAACATGTTTAGACGGAAATGAGCAAAACAACAAAATTTATATGGTAATTTTGCATAAGGTGGTGCAGAAAATAAAAGGAAGCAAAGTTAATGTCATTTTGTAGAAAATGCATTTGTGCAGTTACCATTTGCTGGAAAACTACAAAATTTGTCTTTTATCATATTTTCCAGTCTCCCAGACCCTAAACAAGTGCCCTACTTTCCTCTTTTGGTAGTCCAAATTTAAATGGCTACTTAAGAAGTCAGAATTAATCAATACCCTACAATCCATTATTACCCTTTATCGTTTCCAAATACACTAAAAATAAAATATAGTTAGGGGTAAAAGTAGAATAAGAAACCATTGAAAGAAAAATTAATATATATTTTTGGTTTCCTTAAAAATTGTGCCTTTTGATTTAGGAAAAATATGCATTATGGAACTATTTAGTATTTTTTAGCACCAAAGGGTAGGTTTTATTCGGCTTGTCCTGTTCTAAATAAGACCATAATGTTTTTCCATAAGACCTATATAAAGGTTATGCAATCGTTCCATACAATGCAAATCAATTTATGAATAAAATTCTAGCAACTCTGCTTTTGATAGTGGCTCCTAAAATTCCTAAATGTGAAACCTTACTAGTATTACTCTGGTACTTACATTAATCCCCAGTCCTTTTAAACCACCTCCTCAAGTCCCTTGACACCATCAAAAATTCAAATCCAGAACAGCTTCCAAGGTTGTACATAAGAAAAGCAAGCTAGAACATTGAAAAAATAAGCATGCACTAGACAGTATGAACTCAAAATTGTGCAGTTTCTGATATGAATTGATACTACAGTCACCATAGCATACGTATGTACACACATTCATGAATGAAATTAATGAAAAAATCAATTTCATTGGAACTGCTAGTACAAATTTGAAATCACACCTGAAGGCCCCGCTTGGATCTTTCATTCGCAATAAGAAGTTGTATAATTTGTCTCTAGAAGAAAGATTGAAAAGAAGTTGAATCAATTCCGAAAAATGAAGTTGCAGTGTAGTGAGGAAAGGTGAATTCCTAAAAGAACAGCAGAAAAAAAGTGACCACCTATTAATTGAAGAAAGGGCTTTCTGTCCTCCTAAAGTAACAATTGAATTCACTGCAGCATATGTTGTTGCTAGATGTGGCATCTAAAGACAAAAATAACAAACTAATACAGTCAAGTTGACAATTGATAGTTTTCTAAACAAAAAAAAACAAAAGAAAAAACAAAACAAGATGTAAGAAATCATGCATATATACAAAAGAGGAATCCCTCCAGCATTCTCATACCACAAAAATAAACACAAACAATATTTAGTATTTGTTCTGGGAGACCACTGTAAGATAGGCAAGACAAGATCACACCTAAGATTGATTGACTTCTCTATTTTTGCCATAACTTCTCACATTAGAATAACCTAGGATAGCTTGAAACCACAATCGGAGTCCCTTTTTTAAGCAGGAAACACTTTCACACAGCTATAACAAAAAGTAAATGGGGGTATGAATTTATTATTAGCTTTGAAAACGAATATTCAATCTCTGACTTTTGCATGTGATTGGTAGAAGGGATTGCAAAAGGGACGGACGAGAAATGAAGGATATCGTGTTCATTTTTGTTTGACAAAGAAGATGGAGACCTAAAGAAGCTTGAAAGGATCTTTCCTCACTTGTAATTCTCGTTGCTTTAAATTTTGGCAGACATGTTTCATCCTTGCCCTCTTTAAATTTGTAATTTTCAATCATCTCAAAATGGATGGATTGAGTCTTGTCCTTCCCTTACCTTGCTATCCAAACAAACATAGACTAAAAGACAAACAAACATAGGATTGTTGGGGAAAGAGGCGGCTGAATTGGATTATGGTTTGATAAGTTCTGTAACACTATCATACACAGTGGCGGCGTATCAAAAGAACAAGTACATCTTGCAAAATAATGGAACTTGCCTGTCCAGGTCCACCACCAAATCCACCATTTGGGTCCTGTAAAAAAGAATGCAATGAATAAAAGATGAAGTGCTAAACTTTTATTTCATTATAATGAGGAAACTCCAATACACAAGCTCTAAAAGAAAATAACAATAAAAGGTTATTAAACACACACAACCATGAGCTACATTAAAAAATAATAATAAATAGGAAGAAATGGAAGTAGCTTCAAAAAAATAATACCTGGCAACGGTTAAGAAAGTCAATGGCATTATTTTCGAGTTCGTAATCAAGAGACTCCCCCAGCAAAGCCATGGAATGTATGATCCAGTAGCAAAGCCAAGGTCGACTGCAATATTGCAGAGCAAAATCAAGTTTGAAAAAATAAATAAAAAGAAAACGGAGAGGAAGGAAGAAGGGAGGAAAAGCAGGCGACCGAACCTGGAGTCCAGAGCTACAAAGGAGGGACCAAGTTGCTTGAGACCTTCATTAAGGTATTTAATGTGCTCGTCACGTTGAAGCTCCAACCTGTACATATACATTAATTTGTTTACAACAAAATTATTACGAATGATTTTTGTTATTATCTTAAACATATATATAAACAGTTTTTACAGGGTGGTTTGGGCTCCAGGAGGAATACTAGCGAACATATTGTATATCCGGAACACCCGATCCTCAACAGACCACTGCTCCACTTGAGTCACCGTCTCTCTACCACTTTCCATCTCCAAAGTATGTCACCCTATAAGCGAAGGAAGAGAATAGGCTACTCGTGATGGATTGCAGATTAAAAAAAACTGCTAATTTCTTAAATTAAACAGCAAGGAGAGACATTTAAAACAGAAGGAAACATAGTGCCTTGATTTACCTGAAGAGAGAGAAAGAGTGCTTTACCCTTGACAGTAGCTGGCTGGGGAATGGGATTCGGGTATTGTTGGGATTAGGGAACGGCTTGAGCTTTGAGTGAAATTAGGGTTTGGATAGCAAATTAGGGATTCGGAATTTTGAAGTTACAGACGGGATAGATCAGGAATAAAAGAGGCATTTCCCCCTTTCCATACGGCAACGGTTAGTCTGTGTTTTTCATAGCTGCGGTTGGGCACACCTTAATTATATACGAAGCTTAATTAAAAAAAAAAAAACTAGTTTTTCGTGTTATTTTTTATTTTTTTAGCACAAACTTTAACTATAAAAACAAACCTACCTTAAATTAATATATATATATATATAT